GTGGTTATGCGTAGGATGGCTTGTGGGTGGGTGTGGGGTGGGTGGGGGGGGGTGTGGTGGTGGGTGGGGGGGGGGGGGGGGGGGGGGGGGGGGGGGGGGGGTTATGTAGAAAACGAAGATCCTGGTCAATTTCTTTAATAATTGGAAGATTTTGTTGTTTCTTACACATCTAAGGTCGAGATACCTGTTTCTAGAAGCGATTCAGTTATACGTGATTTTGAGGGGGGATCTTTGTTTTTGTGTCTTATTAGGTCTTCGTTTTATACCCACCCGTTCACTGACACTTGTTATTAAACCTATTGCTTTTTTGACGTTCTTGAACAACTACTACGACCAGGAACAAAGAGAATGTGAAAAAGCAATTGGCTTTATGAGCGAAAAAAATCTCTACTCGCGGATACATTTTCTTTGATGCCCACTACCGCTAGGACTCGAGACTTCCTAATCGGACGTAGGCTTTGATAGATTTTGCTAGCATAATTTTTGGCATAATTCGTCACTAAGAGCATAATTTTCATCCTTTTTCCTGAATGAGCACTTCTAGCATAATTTGTACTTTGGCTAGTTTTGCGGCACAAAATTGCCATTTATTGATTACGCAAACACATTTTTTTTGAATGAGATCAGTGTTACAGGCAAATTTAAAGGTGATGTTCCATGGGATAATCTGCCACTGCGATTCTTAGCGCATCACTAAAACTGCGTTGTAATGTTGGAACAATGTTGCAACCTTTCGAAACAATGTCTCAACAATGCTGCAACGCTGTGTTGCGCAAAAAATCGTTGTATCTTAAAACTTTGTCTACTTATTGTTTGAATTTTAATAGTTGCTAGACAGGTTTTTTTTTGGAGGGGGGGGGAGTGGGGGGTGGGGGGTGGGGGGTTAAGCCTTCTACATTCATCTATCGCCGCAAACACTTTGCAAGACAGTAGCCAGGGTATTGTAAATAGGGTAAAAGTGTTTTCCATTTACATCTTTGATGCATAATTTTCGTGATGATTTACCTAAATTTAAAGTAAAGTGATGGTGCTTCGGTTTCTACAGCAAAGTTTGCCAAAATGCCCATGATGCAAAAGTAATCAGCAATTCACAGCTGAATTCAGTGTTCAGTTTAAGCTGTTTATTATTATGCTTTATCTATTCCACTGTTTTTTAGTTTGTTAGGGACACTAGTGCCTCTACTACATCTCCTTTGTGTTCTCGTAGACTTCTCTCTGCCGCGGCTCTTGGGATTTCCATTTCTTCAACCTGGAATTTCAAACAACCTACCATGAATAAAAACACTAATTGAGGTCAACACTGACTGCACTGGTCATTATTACATTGGTGACATAAGAATTATTAGATAAGCGAGCGAGAAAGAGTGGGAAATGTAGAACATGTGACACCACACCCCGTTCCTACAATACACTCCAAGTAATAGCAAGTCCGCAGTACTGTGAGGCCAGCAGAAAGCAAAGTGTGAAACCTTTGAAACATGATGTTACATTCACTGTATCAACCCCAGCAATTCACAAAGCCAGATTTTTCAGTTCTACTGAGAGTTCTATAGTGATCATATCACGAGAAGGTGCAAGTGTTGAGTATAGGGCCACAAGTTCAAACTGGGTAATAACAGTAAAAAATAGAGTTTGTACATGTACATAGATTTACCCAAAAATGGCAGCAAAGTAACTTTTCACCTTATGGACACTTCCTCAAAGATTCTGTCACAAATAGTTATGGTAAGTCCTATTATCATGACTCCCAGTCCAGACCCAATGAGTCCCAGTTAAAATAAAAATAATAATAATAATAATAATAATAATAATAATAATAATAATAATAATAATAATAATAATAATAAAAAGGCCCAAATTGAAAATGCTTGGGCCAGACAGTTAATATGAAGACAGACTACAAAACTCTATATTATAGTATACTGACATTAAAATATAGACCTTCTATTTTGAAGCACAACAAAGGCTTAAAGAAATATGCATCGTTAAACAACAGCCATAATAACTGCCACAGAAACTACACGGATGGGATGTTTGTAGAAATATATACGTTCAGATCGATCAATCAATCTTTGCATCCTAAGGGATGCATGCCATGAACTATTTTGTGTCTTTGGGGATTTTTATGCTTTAGGGAAGCAGGATGCAGAGGTCACAAAATCACTGCCTCTTTATTATAGACACCCTGATAATATGAACACACTAAATTTCCAGTGAAAATTAAGTTACAGGCGTTTTCTTGAATAAACTCTGCTATCACAGACTTGTGCTATTAACAACCCTAACTTGCAGTTCACAAAGTAGTCTACAATAGCAGGAGTTGACCTCTTATTTTTTAAACAGTTCATGATGAACCAAACAATATGTACTGCCATGGTTCGTACAACTTCAGGCTAACAAAATTCAAGAACTTTTCAACTGGACATTTCAAGGACAAATCACAGAGTTTTCAAGAACTAAGATAAACTCAATAAAATGGCATTCTTTGACCCCCTTTTGATTGGCTAAAACACTCAATGGGGTTGATTACGATATTTTTTACTTCTTCAGCCAAATTTGATCACATTATTTTATACTAATTTCTGTAACACCACTTTGCAAAATGGCAACAGTCCTGGGTATGACTTGCGGTTGCATCTGAAAAGTAAGATAACATCGTTCATGCACAGAAATGTTTTACAGATCTTAGACTGAGGATGAGCTAACTTTTTCTCTGCAAAATCATAATTATTCTTTCACAGAAAATCATGTGGTGTAAACTAGTGGTTCAAACTAAAGTAGTGAATTTCAAGGACTTTTTAAGCCCTTATGAAAAAATCAAGTATTTTTCAAGGACCTTGACCAAATTCAGGGATTTTATAAGACGACTATCAAAATTCAAGACTTTTTCAAGATTGTACGAACCATGTACTACTTAATAAGTTACCAAAAAGTCTTGACGTTCTTTCAGTGTGGACATTAGAAGTAATAAGAAAAGTCAATAACAAAACGGACAAGACATGACACACATTGAGCAATACAACAGTCTGTGGTAATGTTTATTGTACTGTTCAATGATTGTGGTATAAGAGAAGATTTGCAACTTGTACTTACAATTAAATCAACATCTTCTTTTTTGATAACAATTCTTGCAAGTTCTTTTTCCCTGGAAACAAATGGTCACTAAATAAAAGCTTACTTCAAAGTAAGTATAATCACTACTAGTAATTCAACTGAATTACATGGCTGCAACTAATAATGTACTGTAGGTAAAATCTGTACTCTGGATAAACCAGTATCAAACCTACTAGGATTAGCTTTTCCTGAGAGATCTACCATGGCATACTAGCTTGAATACTGGTTTAAACTGAGAATGGATTTACTTACAACATGGACACCATTAACCCTTTCTCTGCCCCTGTGAATGATTAAGTCTCGTATGAAGGTGCTGACGTTTGAGGTGTAGCATATCCGCATGCTCTAAGGTATTTTTCACCAATTCTTCTCACAGCCTTAAAGCCAATTTAATTCCAGTCTTGCATAAATAAATCACCCCCACCCCCCTCCCCCACTCCACCACCACCTCCCACTATGCAGACTAAAATAGGAGCAACTATAAAAAAATAACTCCCCTTAATCCTAGTTACATGAGGTAGATATCATGGGGATTTTCATTGAGAAGCACTTGACCCAAGTGAGTTTGTCTTGTTAAATTCCCCAGCTCCTGGGGGAATTTCTCAACTTTACTCCACCCATCTTAAACTCCCCCTTGTTGGCCTGGGGTCCTAATCAAGGGGCTAGCAGATGACATTTGCATATATAGCTAAATTTGTTCTGATACGAGAATTGGTCACCAAGCTTACAGGGTGTAGCTGGCAGGAGACTGAAGTTTTCTGATCGGGGGTGAGACTTCAAGTCAACTTTATTTACAATCGGCAGGGTGGCCCTTTCAGCCATTGGCTGGTATCAAAAGGGGCCCTGGGTAAATTACAACTACACAATAAAAATTTCAAAGTTAAAAATTACTTTAATTAAATTATGTACAAGGGTTTTAAAAAGTGAATAAAAGAGAAAATTACATATCTTCATAAAAAATCACAATTTGTTTAAGATGAAGAAAATTAAGAGACCTATCGAAGTTACCTAAGAATTAACTAGAAAAAGCTAATAGCTAAAATTAAATCTAATAAAGTTCTTAACAATGGAAAGCCACGTAACTTCTTTTATTATTCATTCAAAGTATTTCCCCAATTCTGACTGGCTAAAAGCACAAGAATAATTCATCATAAAATTGACCAGTTACTGATGACCAAATTTGGAAGATTTTTTGTTTACCGAGCAAATGACGTCAAAACTGCAGCCCGCTACAGGTTAATAAACTGTTAACCGAGAAGACCTGGGGAAGAGGTTGAGTTGTCTTGGTTGTGAAATCAAAAATGGCAGACACTTCACTCGTTTGAAGAGTAAAAACTACAACTGGAACTAGGTGAAGTAATAGCTAAAAACATAGAAAAATAGCAAGAAGACAACTCGAGGGCGACATCTGCTATTTGGAGATTATTTCTGGAGCTGGACAAACCTAAACATACACTATCAAAGATGAACTTAACGTCAGTGGAGGTAAGCATGTTTTAGTTTTGTTTTTAAACTAGGAATTATTTTGAATGAATAATAAAACAATTATTGAATTCGGCTTTTGTATCATATGAAGAATTATGGAGGTCTCAGAGGGTGTTAACCACCTTGGCCTACGGCCTCGACGGATAACACCCTCCTCGATCTCCATAATTCTTCATAAGATACTCAGCCTCATTCATTAACTGTTAAATATTGATGTGGGTAAATTATTAAAAAGAACTGCACCTGAAAACTAATGTGTTTTTTCCTAGTGGTAACATAGGGTTTGGTAGATGAATGTCGTTCCTTTGTGTTGTGTTGTAAGAGTGAAAAGTGCAATTTTTAATAAAATAATCTGATAAATGTGGAGGAACTGATTCATTTAGACTGATTCATTTGGGGTTTCCTTTGTGTTTCCAAATCCACCCTCCCTAACACTTTTCCCTCCTTTGTATTATGTGTGCTGCCCTGTTTTGTAGACGTGGCAAGCTGTTAACCAGGTCAAACATTGCTCAGACAAAAATATGTCGTTAAACATGATACATTCCTTAGTCTTCAACAAAATGTACTACTGTTTGAATGTTTACGAAAATATCACAAATAAGAATGTTAGAAAATTGCCGGCCATTCAAAACTTTTCTTTCCGAATCGTCAATGGTGTGAAAAAATATGATCATATAACACCCCTCTTAAAAAGCCTGTCTTGGTTGCCGGTTAAGGACCAACTGTGCTATGGCCTTCAAATGCATGACCGATCATGCCCCTGAATATCTTACATCCCAATTTTTTACCTGTCAGCAAGTTAGCAAACGAACAACTCGAAGTAGCCAAAAGCTAAACATCCCTCTTTTCGAAACAGCCTCAGGACAGAGAACCTTTTATTACTGGACTGTTAAGCTTTGGAACAATTTAGAACCTTTTCTTAAACAAAGCCAAACTGTTAAAATTTTTTAACGTTCCTTAAGGAGGCCCTGCCAGGTAAATTCTGACAAGCGACATGGCCCAAAAAAGTAGGCGTGTAAAGTAGACAGCGCGTAAAATGAAATCACGACGAGAGACAACCTCCCTCGGCCAAATTGCGACAGTGACGACAAAGCCGCCGATAAGCGACAATCATTTATAAACACCAACATGAGACGTTTTAAAATTCAGACGGGCGACATGGGACCCCCCTAGCAGGGCCTCCTTAAGGAGCCAGCTTTTAGAAAATTTTGCAAATACTGCTTAGTTAAGTTCACAGGAAAAAATAACCGATTCCCATTTTTGGATATTTTTGGGTATTTAAAGAATACCCACAAAAATCCCAAATTTGGAAGAGTGAGACAAGTCCCAATCTGGGAACTTGGTTGGGAATTCCCTGGTTGGGACTTGTCTCACTTTGCCAAATTTGGGATTTTTATGGGTATTCTTTAAATACCCAAAAATATCCAAAAATGGGAATCCGTTATTTTTTCCTGTGGTTTAAAACATTGTAATTAATAATTAGCTAGTATTGTAATAAGTATTTAGTTGAGTGTTGTAATTAGTTATTATAAATAAGGTAATGCTTTTAAATAATAGTAAATTGTTCCTAAAAAGCCCCTTTGGGGAGGTAACAATAAAGTACGTATGAATGTTACTGCATCGGATTGACAGCCCACCCCATACTGTAACAGCGTAACCAAACATCGGCTGTACTAAACAATTATACACACATTTGGAAGCTTTTAGGAAGCTGTATGCAAGGTCTGAAACCAATATATATTCAGTCTCTATTAACACAATGCAGAACTAAGCTGTCATGCCATAATTATAATACCTTACCTTTGTAACTTGGCTGCCTTCTCTTCTGAATATTTTCCTTCTACTAAACTAATGGCCTGTATATTGAAACGAGAAAGTTACAAAACCGCTAGCACAATGTCTGGGAATAATCTTGAGATCCTTCCTGGCACTTTAGCTTAAACTTAAGACTATTAAACTGGCCACTTTGAAAATTTGCCTGTGATCTTGCATTTGGACTGTAACAAGGACAATTACTGTCTTGAACAAGACGTAACGTACAGGAAGGAAGACTATGTCAAGAAAGTGTGAAAGTCTTTACCGGTGAAACGAGAAAACTGGTATTTAATAGCTCAAGCGTAATACCAGCTCAATAAACTATAGTCGACATGTGCCCAAAATTCTTTATGCTTACATTTCGACCAGAGTAATAATTTAAACTTGACACATACACCACAAAAAAGATACTTACATTTTCTAAATCGGTTGCGCTTATTTCTTTTTCTTCAGCATAATCAGTAACCCTTTCGAGGTCTGCAGAGGTTTGGAAATCGTGTCTTTTCGGAAGGGGCTGCTGTGAGTTTTCCTCCATCTTGGAAATGGACTCACTTGTACTTTAGGACAATTTTATTTTAACGAGGGAGGGGTAGGAGTGGTCTTTTATCAGGGGATGAAATGTGTGGATCTTGCTTTCGTCATGGATAATATTATTATCCATTCTTTCGTGGAATTTTTTAGCAGGATCTCTAAGTCTTTAAAGGGAAGAATATGGAAAAATGTAAGTGTAGATGGCTTTTGACATGTCGCTTGTAATAAAAAGAAGAGGACCTACCCCTCCCTACAAATTAGTTTATCAGAGAGGCCCGAATCGTTTCCAGGCTTCGGTACAGGACAGTCTCGGTACAGTGTAAAATGGCTGCCGGCGCTGTCACTTCTTTCACTTTCTCCATATGCTTTGAAATCTTGTTGATTACATCTGTGAAATCATCGTACCCTCCAATAAAAAATGAAACTTGGGGATACGTGGAAGTCAGGAATGGTGCATTTATATTTTGGTGGCTTTATGGTGCGGAAGTAGAGAATCCAATGGCGCGTCAAGACAAGCCTTTGGTCATGTGGTTGCAGGGTGGTCCAGGATCTTCCTCCACGGGGTTTGGAAATTTTGAAGAGATAGGCCCGCTAGACGTGAATCTAAAACCGCGAAATACGACGTGGGTCAAAGAAGCAAACGTACTGTTCGTGGATAATCCAGTTGGATGTGGTTATAGCTATGTTTTGGATCAAAAGGCTCTCACCACAAATATCTCAGGTAAGGTACTGTAGCTATGACATGACCCGCCAATTTTTATTCTTTTATATTTATATTGTTGACATTGTTGACCTCAAACCCACACTTTGGAGTAACAAATTCGATTTAATTCATTCCATTCATAACTTTATTTTATTTCGGATTGTAGAGTGTAGTATAATCAGTGAAAGGTTCCGGCAATTCTACTTTTTTACAAAAAGATCAACTCTACTACTTGAAAAGAGCAGAAAAGTTAACTTTCTGCATTTATTTTTCAGAGAACAACATGCGAAATTGTTACCTTTTTTGTTAATGCTAGTCGATTAGGTGAAAAGTTAAAAAAAGGTACCTTTTTAGAAAAAAAAGGCGGGTATTTTAAGCTTTCGGGTGAAAATATTTTAACGTCAATATTGTCCACTTTTCATCCATTTCTCACTTTACCAAACAAAACTTTAAAGCGCGAAAAAGGTACCTTTTTTCGGTTTCAAGCGATTTCATGAAAGGCACAAAAAGGTACCTTTTTTGTAGTTGGAAGTGATGTTCTCAAAAGGGAGAAAAAGGTACCTTTAATAGTGTTTTCAAGCTATGGGAAGCCATTTAGAATCCTACTGATTGACAGATGTCATATCGACCGTTTGGTGTCATTTTTATGAATCTTTTGTCTGAATTTACTAATCCACTAGTCAAGAGATAAATATTCCCAGTTTATTCGCCAAATTTGAAACCAATTGCTGAGCTTGACACTGTAACATGTACAGTGTCAGGTCGCAGTTCTAAAATCTATCCCCCTTGCTTGATTTTGGCATAGGTGTGAGCCATCTTGATCATTGTCAGAGTGAAGCTGGAAGCATTGTGGCTGGTTCAGTGGTTATCAATGAATGACAGGTGTTAGTTATATTAGTAACCTGAGGAGAGCCGAGCCAGACTTTTGTGCATTTAAAATGCTTTTTTGTTTCCTCGCTAAAATGCTTTACCTTAATGCTCCATTTTTTCGAATAGCATGCTCACCCTTAAAAAAATTTACTAAAATGCGTGATGATGCGATGATGATATGTATAAGTGTTAAAATAACAAGAATATATGTTAATGGTTTAATACACCAAAAGACGATTGTGGCATTTTAATTTTTTTTATTTTGACTTTTGATAGATTATTTTCTATTTGAAAATTTCTAATTCTCATTTCCATGAAAAAAAATTCCAGGAAATTCCACCAAAGTTCTCGAAAAAAATGCTGGCTTACTGTACAAAAGTCTAAGAAGAGGAAAGTTGTTCAGGCGTACTCTTAGTATTTAGTTAGGGGTTGTCAGAGGTACATGTATGGTGGCATTTTTACTGTTAATGGCTTTACTTCGGCCTGTAGCTCAAAAAGCACCTGAAGTTAAATTATTTTTATAATTTATATCATAGCAAACAAAAATAACCCCAAGACTGAAGTCTCTAATAATTTAATAACCTTTCTGGAGTGAAAAACATCACCCAGGAAACAAGACAATTATATTAAAATGACCTGCTCGGAACCTGCTTAGTTTAGACTTAAAGGAAAATGAACACCTTTGCTTTACATGAAGGTCATTTTTCAGGTTAAAGTATTTGCTCCACGCTTAAAATTGCACTTGCTGAGCTTCTCTTCTTGCGTCTAGTTTTAAAGTACCAGAAGTTGTTACTAACATTTTCGGGAGCCATTTTATCCATTTGGCTGGTGGCTAGTATTTTCGGATTTCTTCTAAATTCTTGCTTTTGATCTTGGCATAAAGAAGCGAGCTAAAATTTCTTGCTCCGCTGATTTCCCTTGTAGATCCTTTCAATTTTAACAGGATCACCTAGAATCCCCTAAAAAAAAGTCTGTGCATTGTTCATTGAAGCTTAAGAGGTGCCAAGGGATGACATATGTCAATCAGTAGGATTTTGAATGGCTTCCCAAAAGCTTGAAAACGCTATTTTACATTTTTAAAAAGGTACCTTTTTCGCACTTTTAACAACATCACTTCCAACTGCAAAAAAGGTACCTTTTTCGCACTTTTGAGAGCATCGCTTCCAACTGTAAAAAAGGTACCTTTTTGTGCCTTTGATGAGAAGGCGACAAAAAGGTACCTTTTTCGCGCTTTCAATCAGCATTTGGTAAAGTGAGAAATGGATGAAAAGTGGACAATATTGACGTCAAAATATCATTCACTCGAAAGCTGAAAATACCTGACTTCTTTTTCAAAAAAAGGTACCTTTTCTTAACTTTTAGCCTAAATGACAAGTATAGACAAAAAAGTTAACAATCTTGCATTTTGTTCTACCAAAAATGAAAGCAGAAACTTAGTTTTTCTGCTGTTTTTGACTAGCAGAGTTGACCTTTTTGTAAAAAAGTAGAATTGCCGGAATCTTTCACTGAAGTATCTTTGAACGATTGAAGCTTGTGCAGTCAGTGGACCCCCCCGGGGGGAGGTACTGCCATATATGGCTTATATAAGTATGTGCCGCTGTGAAGGGTATGGTTTTCAATCAGTTTACTCTGGGATAGGGTACATAAATCAGAGAGTTTGGGTCTAGAAGAGGGTATCATTTTCCTTCTAAACTGATCAATTGGCTGAAGATTTTAGTCCAGACTAGGGAAACAGGTAATTACCACTCAAGAATATGAAAAAATCAAATCGGTTTTGTTTTGGTTGGACTGTGCTGTGACCTCAATTGTTTCTGGAAAACAGCTACTCTAGGATATGGGGGGATTTGGGGAGTTTAGTCTAGTATAGGGTAGCAAAATTCACTTGAACTAGCTCTGGTATAGGCTAAGGGCTCCAGGGTCCCAGCGGCACATCCCCACCCAAAAATACGGTCACCAATGGGTCAAAAAAAATTGGACTTATTAACAGGGGCCGTATTAGCGGGGCAGGCTCAAATTTCATCACTTGAGGCCTGTAATGACAAATACACCGTACATCACCGTACATCACATTCGCATTTCTTGAACAACTGTTCCCATTTACTGTACCAGAATGTATGTAGATGTCGCATACAGTAATTGAAAAAAAAAACTACTTAAAATTTTCCCTTAGTACATAAAACACTTTTAAAATTCGGCTATAAAGTTGCAACAAGTGCACTTTATGTGTACTGTAGTCTAAAAATAGTACAAGAACAGGCTCAGATCGGTACCAGCAGGTCAATAAAATTGTCACAGGTATTTTCATTTTCTAAATTTCAAACAAGTGGCCGTATTTAACGGGGTGAAATTATAAGAGATTCTACTGTTTGGGATTTTAAAATGTGGCCGTTGGCAGTATTGATGGGTGACCAAATTAAAGGGTTTTTTTATAAGGAAATGCATGGCTGTTTAGGCAGGCCGAAAAAAAGTGGCCGTACTAACAAGATGACTGTATTACCGAGGTGGCCGTAAGGCGGGGTTCCACTGTACAAGCAAATCTCAGATTACAAAGTCTCTACTACACTTGTAATGAGATACCAACTCGCTTGCGTCACTGAATGTAAATTACCCTGTACCCTCGTAACGTGCTAACGTGAGCTCGAGACGCATATGTTTGCCCTGGTTATTTAGCCCCCTATTTCAGAATGAGAAGTATTATATTTGAAGCACGCTTGTTTTGGTTTATGACTTATAGAAAGAAGAATATTACTTCAGTAACAATATTCCTTGTTCTGAATAACCCTATTTGGTTGTTTTTTGTGTTATGGCTACTCAACAAGTAGTCTGGATTGTCCTGTATGCATGTGATCAAAGTTGTCAATCTGCAGGCATATGACAGTGATGCCTAATGTTTGTGAGTTGGCAGGCAGATTTAAGGTGGAGCAGGATTAACACAACACATTATTAATTTTGAGGAAACAACTGGCCAAAAAGGCACTCACCTTATAGAATTGCTGTAGAAACTGAGAGAACAGACCACTAGTATTGCAGAGAACATTGATCTACAGTGTTCAGTGAGCTGAAAAATGAAACGTTCAATCATTGCCAAGCATGCCAATTCCTTTCATAAAAGTCCTTTGTCTGATGTAATATGATGGTGTGGGACGAAAGACTGCATCGATCGCTTGGCCACTTTGCAGCCTAGAAAACTCGCTCCACTCGCTTAGAACCTTGTAAGGTCAACTTGTGGCAAGTCTAGGGTCCAAAGGCCAACTTTTTTTAAAGGGAAACTGTAGGACCTGTACTGGAATTTCCAAAGGGGTCGGGGAGGAGATAGGAGGTTGAAACCAAATAACCCTCCAAAAAGGAGTATGGATACAAAACTTTCTTGTGAGAGAACTGATGGTTTTGTACAAATCAGAGACAGTTATATCTACGTTTGTGAAGAGAAATTTTTTAGAATAACATTATGCTATCTATACGGGGTATGTCCATGAACAAGGTATCTTTACGCTATAATTTCAGTGTTATTACTCTGATTAACTAGTCTTATTTTCCCTTCTAGAAATAACCAGTGACTTGATGACGTTCTTCAAGTCCTTTCTCAGAAAACTGCCAGTGTTTGGAAGTATGCCACTCTATGTAGCTGGTGAGTCTTATGGTGGTAAAATGGCAAGTGCATTTGCTGCTGCTTTACATGAAGCAATTGTAAAGGAGGAAATCCAATGTCAGTTAGCTGGAGTAGCACTTGGTGACTCCTTGATATCGTTTCCTGATACGGTACTGTCTTATGGACCATATCTCTTCTCCCTTTCTCTCTTGGACAACAAAGATTTCCATCAAGTCCAGCAGATAGCTGCAGAAACAGCCATGGCTGTGTATGAAGGTGAATATGACAAAGCCATGCATCTTAGTGGCCTACAAAACTACCTTATTACCAAATTCACTGACAATGTTGATGTTTATAATGTCCTTCATCATAATGTACCTGATGATGCCGCAATGTTGACAAGTAAGTACAAGAAATCTTCAAGGTTGTTGTCTTATAAAGTGTTAGCAGAGTACGTAGCAAAGACCAAAAGTGATACTCTTTATCAGCTCATGAATGGACCAATCAGAAAAAAGCTTGGGATAATACCAGATGATGTCACATGGAGTGGGCAGTCAGATATGGTTTTTAGCAGTCAAGAAGATGATATCCCATCATCTGTTTTAAAAGATGTGAGCAAGCTCATTCAAGTGGGTGCAAAAGTGGTTGTTTATCAGGGTCAGCTTGACATGATCTGCGGTACACTCGGTGCAGAGTCTTGGATTAAGAAACTCAAATGGGATGGCCTATCTGAGTTTTTAAACTCCTCCAGAATACCTTTGTATGCACCATCAAAACTGGCCAAGAAACAAACTGGTGCATTTTTAAAGGCTCATGAGAACTTTTACTTGTATTACATTCTTGACGCTGGCCACATGGTCCCTATTGATGCCCCAGAAATGGCATTAGAAATGCTAAAAAAGATTCTTTATCAGTAGAAAGTGTGATTATTATTATTATTATTATTATTATTATTATTATTATTATTATTATTATTATTATTATGTCTTTATTACCTAATATAGTTTTAGCTCTGTTAAAAATAGCGAAGTGTTAATATAGTTTCAGAGGTAGAAACCGGTTACTTTGATAACCTGTAAAAAATATCTCTTTTAAGTAATGATCCGGGTAAGGTGGATAGCAATTTCTTTTTTTATGCGGCAACGGTGCTTTCCCCACATAGGAATGTTCTCATTTTTACACAGAGAATTCACAATCCTACATGAAGGCTGTTTACGCAATAAAATGCATTTACACTACACTTTGAAAGGGTGTTTTTTTTGTGTTAAAAGATTTGAAAACAATAGCCAAGAAAAGTTTACAATTTTACATGTTCCCCACATAGGATTTCTTTGTTATTCAAACTGAGACCAGATTTTGTCATATGGAAGATGGTTGGAAAGTAAGGATGAATATATGTACTGCTTTATGAAGTTTTGTTAACTTTTGCTGTTTAAGCCAATCAGAAGTAAGTACAGACAATAGAAAAGTTAGCTCCTTTTTTGCATTCCAACAAGTTCGTTGCCGTTGTTGCGACCGTTTCTTAATTAGGGATGTCTTACAACACTTTTTTCATAAGTGCTGTCAATGTTGAATATAAAAATAATGTACTTGCATGTGTACGACTATAATGATAGAAATAGAATAGGAAAAATCTCTAGTCCTACCGAGTGTTGTAGCTTAGTAAACATAATTTATTAATGGGAATACTTCTTGAATAAAATCTTTTAACTTTTGCTCTAAATGTAGCAACGCTCTCTGCATTTTTAATAATTCTGGTTTGGTGTTCCATAATAGAGGTGCTGGAATGGAAAGTGCACGTCGTCCATATACGTAAGTCGAACCTCGATTAAGCGTCCACCCTCGGTGTACCGTCAAGGGGCCGCTTAATGAAGATTGGCCACTCAATAGTATAGAGGTTCGTCCAAAATTAGCATCATCTTTAACAGAAACATCACTTTATTATGAAACAAACGCCAAACAGGAGAAGCATTACTAGTCCACAATCGGTCGTCGGCTTTTATCTCGGACTGTATTTTCCTTCATCATCATTATTATTAAAATAAAGCCAGACTAAGTGTATCAAGCGCAATATGGCCGCTTAATGGAGATGGGTCGGCCAAATGATGTTCGCTTAATGGAGGTTCAAATTGTTCGTGGAAGATCGTATATTTGCACATTTCGTCTAAAATAGGACGCGGCTTAGCTAAGACGCGTCTTATTAGATAAGACATGCTCGTATAAATGGTAAAGTTCGCGTCTTATTTTTCCTCGTATAAATGGCCCTAATGTGACTGCTACTTGGCAACATGAAAGCCGCAAAACCGCAAGCTAAATGGCTGTATTCTATACCGGCTATGTTACTCTCCCCCGCGTAGCTCTTAGTCTTGCTAAACAAAGAAAAAAACGGCGAGAAACCAAGTGGGGTATTAATTTTTATCCATTTTTTTCTGGGACTAAGTATTTGGATCAATTAGCGTAAAAAATTTATTGTGTTTTCTAGTAGCATAAATTTTTGCGCGAACTTAACAAGGTTTAACTTCCCTTGAAAAAAGTGAGCTTACAACAGTAAAAGCTCTGAATAGGGGAAAAAACCCAAAGTTTTACTAGTTTTGGTAATCCAATATCAAACTAAAGAAAGATGTCAAGAAAGTAAAACACTCTCGCGTTCCCTAAAAACTGCGGGACTTTGTATTTCTTGTTCGATCTTACTTCTGAATTGGAATCTGCGACAGTCGGGTTTCTCCTTTCCTAATACATTTGAGAACAACAGACGCAAAACTCATTTTGCTGAAAACACGTAAAATTAATTTTAGCTGTCTGAATTAAATTGTGTCACCGTGTTGCATTAACTTCTAACGGACAATTGGGTAAATGTCGTTAATAATTAAGTAGTTGTGGGCTATTGCCAGTTCAGTCAAGCACCTGTCGTTAGCAACATTTAACGAGCTAAAGCGGATGGCGCAAGCGTTTGACCACCACCGCAGAAAGATGCACTTTCTCCTAACTCTCTTTTCGGTTGTTTCTATTTGCAAGGTAAGACCATTTTTGCTTTCTGTTCATTGCTGCGTTTACAAGTATCGGCAATCTCAGTTTTGAGCGACCGAAATCGGTATTTAGCAAACTCGTTTAAACTGACAAAACGGAAAATGGGTTGAATACAGCCGTGAAATATCGTAGTTCGCAAATGCTATGTAAAGATTAACATCATCTAAAAGAAAAATGTAAGCTGTATTCTGACGTACAATCGTCTTTAGAAACGTGCTTCAACTTGCAGTTTATCTGGAGCATAAAAAGTCACGTGAAAACTTAGGATTATATGCAGGAGCCGGTTTTGTGTGGTTAAGCTGATATTAATGCCGGTAATCTGAAATTATTCAGTTTTAGTCTTTTTCAGCAGTTGAGTTAACATTGTAAATACAGTGACCATCATGTATTGCTACGATTAAAATGTTCCCATTTTTATGAAATGTTTTTCAGCAAATTGGTAATCTTAGAAAGAATTAACATATCAACAACGGTATTCCAAGGATTAAATAAATACTGAACTTTTATCCAAAGCTCACAGACGCAACAAGCAAATTTTATTTTCGTAAGCTTGCCTCTTTTTTTGTCCTATATCTCTTCCTTTCTTGAGTTTTGAGGACTTTGTTCGTGAAGTTAAAGATTTGAGAGACAGTTGCTGTGTTTTCTGCATGGTTCGGATCAATTTTCGTATCTAAATTATTCATTGTGTTAAAAGCAACTTACAGCATCAGTTAAAAAGCCTCAACGTGAAGTTTGTTCACTACGCGTGCAGACTACGTAATTATCTAGTAGGTATGTTTTCGTAATTGATCGTCGAATTGTTATATTCAGATCCAGGTTAAGCGTCATCGACATCCATCTATCAGGATTTTCTTTGCCGAATTTTCTTTCACGACATCTACTTACTCTTAGATGCGAATTATGTCTCTGGTTGGAAACACCCCTCTGTAACAAAACCCTGAGAACACGTTCCAGTGGGTTAATTCAGTCTACCCAGTGATAATTTAGCTTCCCAGCTAGTTAAGACCCGGCGAATAGTTTGTTTCTACTCGGCTGGTGTATGTTTTGCTTCCCCGGTCACTTTCTATCACAATGATGACTTCTACAAGACTAGTGTATTTCGTTGTTCAGAGGGAACAGTTAATCAATCTCGAGTAAAAAAATGTAAATCGTTTACTAGTTTTTCTAGCCAAAGCACTAGTATGTAAAAGGTGTTCAAAGTTTTCATGCCGGTAAAGATTAAGGCCTGCCACTCCCTTCCTTTTTTATGGGAGATACAAGAACTAAGAAAAAGCCAGTGGAAAATAAACCAACCCAGAGACGTTTTCGTCGATTGAGAACCCAGTGAAGATATAGATTTCACGGGGGCTGTTACAGAGGGGTGTTTATAGACAAACAGATAGTAAGAGACACCGGCTTCTAGGAGAGTTGTAAACTTCCCTTCCTTAAAAACCAAAGAATATCTAATCAACGCTAGACAACCCAATACAATTAACTGCTCGGCCAGTTGAAAACAAAGTTGGGTCAATAGTTTAGAGGTGCAGGGAAACAGTTTTCTGGACACTTGGACTGAATAATATAATACCGGTAATATTTTCTTTACTGTACATCGCTGTGAAAACGCTAAAAAATTTCCAGCAGGCGATTAAAACGAGGTGTCTACAATATTTGCATTTGATAAAAAAGGTCAAACTAAGGCCGACTGGTCTTTAAAACTTATCAGCTAGAAGACGCAGTAAGCGGAAAGTGGGATAAACTGAACAGATTAAAATATTGCAAAAATTACTCGAGTTTTGTTCGAAACATAATTATTCACTTTTAGTTTCACACGCACGTCTTAACCAAATTAAAGTTAACTCGAGGTAATAAAAAAATGAATCGAGGAGAAGCTGATACTATGCTGTAAATTCAAAAGATCGGACCTTTTTGGTGAGTGAAATGCGTTTTTCAGCTATACCTAATTAGTGCCAAAATAGTCGAATTTATAATAACCGGCAAATAATTGCACCCACTGGTTGAAGTGAATCCCTGAGAAAGTAGCCTGCGAATACAACCGTCACCCATCGCTCCTCGCTCCTCGCTCCTCGCAGCAAGGGACGTTTTGCGAAACTTTGTAGCTGCGAGGAACGAGGAGAGATGGCTGTATTTGTAGGCTATTGATCTGAGAAGGCTGAATTTCTCCATAAATTAGGTTTGACAATCTCGCGGCTCCAGTCGCCCCCATAGCTGTTTATAACCACGCACGTTTCGCACGACAAGCTAAGTCCTCATCCACTCGTATCCGGCTTATTATTTTTTTTTTGAAAATGGACACTTTTCTTTTTTTTTTTCTTCAAAAAAAGAACGCATAGATGTACACATAGCCTTGTCAAGTCATTCTTGTCCATGAAAACGAAAACCCTAAAATAAATATAGCCGAATACGATAGCTTCCCTTACGTATAGAGCGTGCGCTGTATTAAAGATGTATGACATCTTATATTCGAAGATCCGTTTTCGGCCCTCCACATGAAAACGAAAATCCGGCGTTTTCATAAATCTCCACTCTGGGACCCGTTTTCAAAGTCCTGCACCCGAAAGCACTGTGACATGTGCATGGAGGGCTAAATGGAGAAAAAAATATTCTTTTTTGAAAACACATGAGAACGTGCAAAGGAACATAAAGACGGGAAGTATTCGTTTATTTCATTGCGTCACTCCTGAAAGACAATAGTTTTGAATTCATGTACATCACTGTAGAATTCGAAGCGGTAATTTGCATGCAATTGACTCATTTCAAGGCGATCGTTAAAAAAAATTAATTTTTTTCTCAAGCGTAATCGTCTCTCCTTCTGAGGCCCCAGTTCATATGGAGAAAATTTGTCTGGGTAGAAGGGTCATCCCCTAGCCTGGGTAGCTGCCGTTTTTTATTT